GTTACTAAGATTACAAATATTCCAGCATCCATGACTAATATGGATTTCTCTTCTTTTCCTTCCTTCTTTCTTTCTTTCCTTCCTTCTTTTCTTTCCTTCCTTCTTTCCTTCCTTTCCTTCCTTCCTTTCCTTCCTTCCTTCCTTTCCTTTTCTTTCTTTCCTTCTTCCTTTCCTTCCTTCCTTCCTTTCTTTCTTCCTAACTTCCTTCCTTCCTTGCTGTCTTTCCGTTACTTTATTTCTTTCATTTTTTTAGGTTTATTCTATATAGTCATAGGAGGCCTGGACCTCAATAAGTTGATCAGGCTGTCTTTCAACTCACAGAGATCTGCTTATCTGTGTGGCTGGAATGCTGTGATTAAAGGTGTGCTTCCCCAATCTCATTTGGATTGATTTTCAAACATTTGGTGGTGGTGAGAGAGAACCCAGAGCCTAGAGCATGTCAGGTAAGCGCCCACTTTCACAGCTCCATTTTAGCTTCACGTTTTAAGAAGACAAAGTTACAGGTGTTACCCGAGCCTAGTTTTTACCTCTCTAAAATTCTCTTGTCTTCCTTTCCTAGTTCAGGGTATCATAGGTATTCACCACCAGACCAATCTTGCATTCTAGGTTGTTTTCAACCCTGAAGCTAATCTTGGATTTTTAAAATAATTTTTCTTACATATTTATGTATTTGTTACATATAAAATGTTCTGTCTTCATGGATCCCTGCAGATAGAAGAGGGTACCAGATATCATTACAGATGGTTGTAAAACAACATGTTATTGCTGCATATGGAACTTAGGACCTCTGGAAGATCAGCTAGGGTTCTTAACCACTGAAACATCTCTCCAGGTCCCTAATCTTGGACTCTTTCTGGTCAGTTTTATAACTGGCTAGAAAAGTAGCGATCTGAGATTGACAGAATAAGAAGACAAGCACTTGTGACCTTGGGACTAGCTAGGGGGACCACACAGTGCTTCCTTTTACTACCCTATCCAACTCTATACACATTGTATTCATTTTTGAGTGTATATATACTACATAATCTGCTTGTATGTTTATTTCATAAAAATTATATTACTCATACTGTTTCTTTGGGAAGGCTGAGGATGCAGTGTAGAGTCTGAGGCATATTGCACACCATACTTCCAAAGAATCACACCCTCATTCCTGCCCCTGGATTATTGTGAAAAGTTATCTTGTGCTAATAAATTAAGCATCATGATTAAAAGGATCAATTCTAGAAGGATATGAATAACCAAACAGATAGGGATAGCACAAACCTTTAATCCTAGCACTCAGGAGACAGAGGCAAGTGGATCTCTTAGTTAGAGGACATCCTGGTATAAAGAATGAGATCTAACAGAACCAGGGATACACAGAGAAACCCTATATGAAAAAACCACAGCAGAAGATGAATAATATATTGATATAAGAAAACAGAATCCATGCCTTGTGGTGGTGGCACACGTTTTTTTTTGTTTTGTTTTTTGGTGGTACACGTTTTTAATCGCAACACTTGGGAGGCAGAGGCAGGTGGATCTCTGTGAGTTCGAGACCAGCCTGGTCTACTGAGCAAGTTCCAGGACAGGCTCCAAAACAATACAGACAAACCCTGTCTCGAAAAACCAAAAAAGAAAAAAGAAAATAGAATCCAGAAAAATGAACTGTAATTCCATCTCATGACAATAAGACTCAACATATCTTTTTTTTGAGACAAGATTTCTCTGTAGTCCTGGCTGTCCCAGAATACACTCTGTAGAACAGGCTGGCCTCGACCTCACAGAGACCCATCTGACTCTGCCTCCCTAATGCTGGGGTTAAAAGTATTTACCACCATCAACATGGTTTCTGTGATCTTTCTTTTCTTTGTTGCACCCTTTTCTCCTGGGAGTCTGCTGACCAGCTTGTGAACAGGAGCTTCTAGCGGAGCAATACTTGTCCCCTCTTTCCAGGTAAGTTTAAATGCTAATTCCTGTTATCTGCCCATCCTTTTTCAGAGAACCATGGGAACTTGAGCTCCTGACCTTGGTAGTTTTCCCAACTTGCCTGCTAATGGTATTGAATGCTCCCCTCTTGTTACACTAAATGCCATTCTCCTTGCAAGAATGAGGCACTGTGTTTGTCTGCATTTAAATCCTCAGCCATTCAACCAGACCACTGAGTAGTCTTGTAGCTCCATAAACACACTGTTATCTACAATTTTTGATGTAGCATAGGAATAGAAACTATGGTCATGCTGTTGATGTTCTCATACCTCCAGTGACTATAGAGGGAAAGCACATTGAACCCTATAATTTCCTTTCTGTTTTTAAAATTAATTTTATTATTAATTTTCAAGACATGCTTTCTCTGTGTAGCCTTGACTGTCCTGGAACTCTCTCTGTAGACCAGGCTAGCCTCCAACTCACAGATATCTACCTGCCTCTGCCTCCTGAGTACTGGAATTAAAGGCTTGTGATACCACCATTAAGCAACTTTCTTTTTAAATTCATTCTTTTTGTCTTTATAAATGTAGATTCCACTCATCTCCCATCCTCTGGAATCTGTCCTCCACCTCTGCAGTCCCCCAAAATAAAACAAAGTAAAATTTAAGATAAGTAAGAAAAAGAAAAACTGGGAGAAAGGGAAAATTTTGTCATGGAAGCTGCAGTGTGACACACTGAGACTCACAGTAAACCCCTATATCCATGCATCTTCACATGCAGGCATTCATGAAAGAATCATTGGTTTGGGTGTAGGCCCCTGGTATCAACTACACTGTGGACATTGGGCCCTCATTGGAACTCTTCCTGAATGTCCCTTTGCTTGTGGAAGTGCTTCAGCCCTATGACACCCCACCTGTGCTCAGCAGATCATAGATGGGGTGGATGGAAGGTGGGGCAGCACATAACCCTGGTTCTAGGCCTGGGCAGTTGCAGGGTTTGTCAGCCAGCCAGCTCTCACCTGTCTTTATCAAAAGGGTGAGTTCTCCTGCATTGCTCTAGCTACTTCACCTCTTGCAGGGATGAGCAAGGGGCAGGGCCAGTTCTCTGGCTTTTACCTCCTAAAGGGCATTACTCCCACACCTAGAGCTTCAGGGTCAGCTCTACTGTGTTGCTCAGGCATTGAATAGGGGCCAGTCTCCTCAATGCTGCAGCTAGAGAGCACAGAGACAGCTGACCACTCTTATGATCTCAGGGCCTCAGGCCTTAATGGGGCAGATGGGGAAATCTCTCTCCTGCCCATGCTGTCCCACGACTGATAACGGAAACAGCTCTCCCATCTGCCTCTGACATCAACACCTTCCCTCCAGTTCAGGCTTGGTGGACACTGTCTGGCCTGTGGTTGGATTCCACCCACATGAGGGGATGAAATTGGCAGGCCCATGGATGTCTACCCTCCTGTTTAGGGCTTGACTACACAGGTTTGTCTGTGGATAGCAAAGTATCCTCTCTAAACATATAAGAAAAACCTAAAAAACCATATGAAATATATAATGTATATATTATCTGCTCAAACATAAAAAATAATTGTCTTTGGCTCCAGCACAGCCTCCAAAGACACAGAGAAACCTACCTGGAAAAATATCTTTGTCCATCTTGTGTACAATACACAGTTTATACTTGTACTGATACACATATGTATGTTTTCCTTAAAAGATAATATGTGTTCCCAATGCGGGTGACCAGACACCAATGCAAACAAATGGCCCAGGTGATCCAGCCACTCAAAATGCTTCTGTTGCACTTTCCTCAGAATTCTGCATCCAGCACAGTTTCTTATCTTGAAGAACACTGGCAGCCAAGTGACCCTCAGGCAGGAACAACCTGGCTGCAGTGTCTCCCTCCGTATTTCTGTGGATGAATTGACCTGAAAAGGGTTCAGACCCTCACTGCATGGATACCATTTGTATTCTATATGCTGTGAATAAGGTGTGTTGTGGGACTCCAGCTTCATAGATAAAATAATAAACATTTGAGAAGAGCAAGAAAATTCCTCATAGTCACTGTAGGCGCCTAGCCTGTGACTGACAACTCCCTTGAGCACTGATGGAACAATAAATTCTGTAAACCTCCACACTTTCCTAAAAGGTGTTAGGAATCAGGGTCTTGTGTAGAAATGCCATCTGCTGGTAATCACATCTCTACCCAAGGATGGATCTGTCCAAAGTGTGATAATCAAGTGTCCTTCACAGCTAGTATGGTGTATTAAGTTAGCAGGGCAACAGAATGACATGTGAGAAAAGGGACATTTGGTTTATTAAATCAGACCAATGAAAATACGGAATAAAAATTATCTTAATGCTACCTGATACAATAAAATAGCTGACTTGGCTACTCTCTTAACAAATAAAGACAGAGCTAACAACCAAACATTGAACAACAAGGTCTCAGGTCAGGCAGGTTTCTAGGCAAAGATTCTGCTTCAGTCATCTTCAAGGGGTGCCTAGCAATTCCTGTCTGAGTATCCTGGCATACAATCTTCTGTGTTTCTTCAACATCATCTTCAAAGGAGATCAGGGCTACACTGCTGCATTCAGTTTAGCAAGTCTAAACAAACAATCCAATGAGCAGCCATATGATGGGAAGTAGGAGAAATGCAATGCCATAAATCACTTCAATTCATTTTGATGATGACAATCCTTGGAGCATAATGCCCTAAATTGTACTCATGTGGTCTCAAAACACATTGACTGTGACCTAAAGCTGAGATAAATGACTGAGGAGACCAGGGAAGAATATCCACGTTCCTAGTGTAACCACATGTTTAAAACTGTCACATATTGGCAAGTCAGTGGTGATCCTGTTTTGAGAGAGGCACAGTTAGAAATGCAAAATTGCCTTTCTGATTTGACAAGACAAGTATCACTGTGTTCCCATTATACTTCAAGTCAAGTTAGTCTATGGTGTGCATCTCCTGAACACTCTTGATTCCAATGCATCACACAGAGTCTGAAGCCATGTGTTCTGGCACCAAACGATTCGAATCCAACCCATACACGTTCATTTCTCAGTATCCAGAAGAAATCATCTCCTATTTATTGCCAGCACTGACAAAGTCTGGCCTCGGTGTCATAAAAACAGCGCGTGCAGCATTCAAGGCAGACGTCTGTAGCAAAAAGTATTGTCTTGGGCTGCCTTTTGGCACAAAGTATATCCAGGAGCTCAGGACATAACTGGGCAAATTTCTCCACCAGGACAGAACCCAGGGGATCATAGCACTCTAGTGGGGCGGGGTAGAACTCTACAGTCATGTTGCTTAGATTGGCCACACTCTGCAAAAGCTTCTTCAGTACAGCAGTGGAAAACTTGTTATCACAGAAATTCACAGTGGTGAGATGTGAGCACAGGCTCAGGGCAGGCAAGAGGGCACTGAGATGAGAGTCCTCCATCCAGCATTCCACCAACTCCAGGGTCTGCAAAGTGTCTGCTGTATTCTCAAGGAGAACTCGGAGATGTGGGACACCCAAACTGGACAAAACTACATTACTGAAGGTCAGGTGTCTCAGTTGACAGATCCCCTGACACTGCGACAACTGTTTCAAGTCTGACTGGGAGAGATGGCAGAGAGTGATGATCAATGTTTCCAATGGGCTCTTCAGGCATCTAAGGAAAGAAAAGGAAATTAGTGTATGGTTTTAGAGGGAACTAGAAACTTTGACACTGAGACACAGCAGACGATATATATAAATTCAGTCCGGCCTTATGCTGAAGGTCAACACTTGGAATACAACCTTCTGGTTTCTGCTCATATAATTGACTTCTGAGGCATATACATAAGCTGGAATGATCTCAGACCACATATCTCCAGATCCCCATCTGCTTTCTGTCAATTAGAACTAGAATTTGCCACAGCAGGCCAGGAGCTCATACCCAGAAGACTACCACAAAAAGATTCTGACAGTATCTTGTGATGTATACTGCATAAATCACCACTGTCCCTCCTATCAGCTTCTACTCCTGATTTCAATGTCCCAGCCTTGAAACTTTTAGTCCCTCACCCCAGCATCATCCATTTCCATCCAATATGTCCCAAACTATGCTCATATTGCCCTACTCTACAGAGGGACTTAGAGGCTGAGACAGGCTCCACCAGAAGAACGAGTTGGCCCATATTCACAGATCTGAGTACAGAGTTCCTTGGGTTCCTATGCAGGTGTGGTACTCCCCAGCTCAGGACATTCTACTCTGCCCTGTTCCCTTCCTATTAGCATAGCCAGGATCTCAAGAAGCAATGTCCAGAGCACACTCATTGTGTCTGACACAGCCAATGGACTTGCTTTCAATTCAGCTTTCTAAACATCTCCTACCCCAGCTCTGACTGCTGGTCATTGAACCAAGTGACATCAGTTAAGAAGGATTCATGTCCACACTTGTATACTGTGATGAGTCCATCACTGTTAAATCCCCAATGGCTAGGACTACACCAGGGTACACTAATGCTTGAAATAAAGGGAAAAGGGTTGCTGAAACAGTAAAAAGAGCTCTCCATCTTTCCTTACCCAAATAACAGTTGCATGTGGTCTGGGTGAAAGTATATGCCATCAATGGAAAGATGCTTGAGGAATTTGAGTTTGCAGAACTGAGAGAGAAATTGGACAGGACACATCTCTATGTCTGCCGAGGTATTTAAGACTGTGTGTATGTTCAAGACCATGTGAATTACATTCAATTTGCGAAGTCTTGTCATACGGCCAAGATGAGGTGCGATGTGACCCAGGAAGGGCTGCACCTGGTTTGTGTATAGCTCCAATTCCTCAATATTGTCTGGTGGGAAAATGTCCAAGACCCCCTTGATAATCTCTATCGGGGAGTCACAAATCTTCATCTTCACACAGCACAGCTGCACGCAGTCTTTCCTATGCTTGGCCCAATGCAACAAGCATGCTTGGTGTTCTTTCAGGTGGGAACTGAGACTAAGTTCAGTGACCACCTTCAAACCCTGCCTCAGTTCATTGCATAGTTGTGCATTGCTTTCAGTCTCCGTTGAGCAGTTCCAGTCTCTGCCAGCCCATAGATCCCAGAAATCCTGGTTCATATTCCTCAAGTCAAGTATTCCAAGCCTCCAACTTCTGTGAGGAAAAAGGTACAATTTCATAATGTAAACAGGATCCACTTCAGAGACAGCCTCTGTCCAGCTTCTCTCTTGTCAGCTCCAACATTACCCCTCTCACCTGTCAGGCAATTCTCTGTGACTTCGAGGCCAGTCTGGTGTATAAGAGCTAGATCTAGGACAGTCTCCAAAGCCACAGAGAAACACTGTCACAAAAAACACACAAACCAACAAAAAACCAAAAAAGAATAAGACAACCCCCCGAAAAAGTACCCCCAAAACTTAAAGTGGATGTAGGAGAGCCAGGGATAGCTCATGCCACTGTGGTTTCATCTACTCTGAGCTCTCATCCACTTCTGTCATTGCATGAACTCACAACATGAGTAGTAGCTCCACAGACCTACAAGTGGATGGTACCAGAAGTGTCTGTCCACTTTGACCACATTCTTGCTGTACTTTTACATATATCATACTTATAGCTCAGCAACTCCCCTTTTGTCTACTTGGGTCTTGCTTACCTGGGACGAACCTTCTGTGTCTGCAGAATATCTACACCATCCAGAACAGCTTGCAACAACTCCACATCTGGTGTCTTCATCAGGGCCCCCACAGGAAGGTAGGAAAATGGCCAGGCAACTAACATTGCCTTCAATAGCTCCATGTGTCTACCAATGAAGGCCTCCTTGAAAACTGGTGGGAAGAAATTAATGGGCAGGTATTCCAGAGCAGAGATGGTTGAGGCCTCGTTTCGCAGCAGGCTCTGCACTGCCAGCTCTTGGAGTGTGGTTGGGTTGCAAACGCTCATTCTGATAGATCGTCAGTCAGAAGGAACCTGGTGAAGCATTAGGGAGACAACATTTTCTACTTCTGTTTTGGGAATAACAACTTCTCATAATTTGAAAGAAGCAGAGGGTCAGAGTCCTAGGTCTGGCAATAATGGAGAACTCTGTGTGCCTCATTATCTACAATCTCTTGGTGTCAAAGCCAGACTTCCATCAATCTCAGCATGTGGAGTGTCTTTTTTTTGGTTTTTCGAGACAGGGTTTCTCTGTATTGTTTTGGAGGCTGTCCTGGAACTTGCTGTGTATACCAACACCCAGCCTTATGGAGTCTCTTAAAGTCTCCAAGCAGACACAAGTCAATCATTATCCCAACATGTACCTTCCACTGTTCTTTTTAGAAGTATTCAGGAGCAAAGAGATGACCTGAAGCTTGTTACAAGAAGTGACCCTGACCATCTTTCCTGTTGCTTAAGAAAAGCTCTAGAACAGAAAGAAGCAAACTCCCCCAGGAGGAGTAGACACCAGGAAATAATCAAATTGAGGGCTGAAATCAATAAAGTAGAAACTAGGAAAACAATACAAAGAATCAATGCAACGAAGAGTTGGTTCTTTGAGAAAATCAACAAGATAGACAAACCTTTGTCCAAACTTACCAAACAGCAGAGAGTGAGCATGCAAATTAACAAAATCAGAAATGTAAAGGGGTACATAACAACGAACTCTGAGGAAATACAGAGAATCATCAGGTCCACAAAATTCAAAAATTTAAAGGAAATGGACGACTTCCTGGATAGCTATCACTTGCCAAAAGTAAATCAAGAACAGATAAGCAATTTAAATAGACCTATGCCGGGCGTTGGCGGCACACGCCTTTAATCCCAGCACTTGGGAGGCAGAGGCAGGCAGATCTCTGTGAGTTCTAGGCCAGCCTGGTCTACAAAGTGAGTTCCAGGACAGCCTCCAAAACAATACAGAGAAACCATGTCTCGAGAAACCAAAAAAAATTAAATAGACCTATAATCCCTATGGAAATAGAAGCAGTCATCAAAAGTCTCCCAACCAAAAAAAAAGTCCAGGTCCAGATGGCCTCAGTGCAGAATTCTATCAGAAATTCAAAGAACCGCTTATACCAATTCTTCTCAAAGTATTCCATACAATAGAAGCAAAAGGGTCTTTGGCAAACTCTTTCTATGAGGCTTCAATAACCTTCAACCCCAAGCCACACAAAGACACAACTAAGAAAAAGAACTTTAGACCAATATCCCTCATGAACATTGATGCAAAAATACTCAATACTGGCAAATCTGATACAAGAACACATCAAAACAATCATTCAACACGATCAAGTAGGTTTCATCCCAGGGATGCAGGGATGGTTCAACATATGAAAATCCATCAACATAATCCACCATATAAACAAGCTGAAAAACAAAACTCACATGGTCATCTCACTAGATGCTGAAAAAGCCTTTGACAAAATCCAACACCCCTTCATGATAAAGGTCTTGGAGAGATGTGGGATAACAGGGACATACTTAAACATAATAAAAGCTATATACAGTAAGTCAACAGCCAACATCAAACTAAATGGACAGAAACTCAATGCAATTCCTCTAAAATCAGGAACAAAACAAGGCTGTCCACTCTCTCCATACCTTTTCAACTTGGTACTTGAAGTTCTAGCCATTGCCATACAACAACAAAGGGGGATCAAGGGGATACAAATTGGGAAGGAAGAGGTCAAACATTCACTGTTTGCAGATGATATGATAGTTTACATCAATGACCCAAAGAACTCTACCAGGGAACTCTTACAGCTGATTAACACCTTCAGCAAAGTGGCAGGCTACAAGATCAACTCAAGAAAATCAGTACCCTATTATATACAGATGATAAAAGGGCTGAAAAAGAAATCAGAGAAACATTACCCTTTACAATTGCCACAAACAACATAAAATACCTTGGGGTAACGCCAACCAAACAAGTGAAATACCTGTATCGCAAGAACTTTGAATCTTTAAAGAAAGAAATTAAAGAAGCCCTCAAAAACTGGAACGATCTCCCATGCTCTTGGATAAGTAGGATCAATGTAGTAAAAATGGCAATCTGCCAAAAACAATCTACAGATTCAATGCAATCCACATTAAAATCCCAGGCATCAGCCTGGGAATCCAGCATGGGACTGATCAAGACCCCCTGAATGTGCGTGTCAGTGAGGAGGCCTAGGTATTCTACTGAGCCTTGGGCAGTAGATCAGTACTCATCCCGAGTATACACATGGACTTTGGACTCGCATCCAACAATGTGAGGTGCACTCTCACCCTGAACTCTTGGGGGAGGGTCTAGGCCCTGCCCTGTATGAAATGACAGACTATGGACACCCCCATAGAGGGCCTCACCCTCCCTGGGGAAACGATGGGATAATGGGGGGGTTGGGAGGATGGCACGGGAGGAGGGGAGGGAAAGGGAGAGGGACCTGGAACTGACTTGTGAAGCAACCTTGTTTCTTATCAGATTTTAAACTGAAAAATAAATAAAAAATACATTGCTGATATCGCACACACAACCCAGCCTTATTGTATTTTCACCAAACTGAAGCCTATTAGGAAGGAGTGAGTTGAATTTGTGAATTGCCTTTTAGTTCATGCTACTTCTAAATCGAGAATCTTAGATGAGAAACCAATTGGACAGAGGCTACAAGGACAAAGATTTTCCTGTGATGCTTTGGGGTCTATAGGAAGAAAGGAGATGAGTAAAGAAAATTTACAAATATTTAAAAGTTTGGTTTATACTTTAAATTGGTATTAAAATATAAGAGGATACTAAGTCCAATTCCATAATGAGTCTAGAAACCTGGACAAGGTCAATGACTCTAGAGTTCAAGATTAGCCTTGACTATTTTGACCCTGTCTCCAAAAGCTCAAATGAACCAAAGAAACTAATATACACATTCCTATGAATGCTCATTTCTTATTTAAACAAAGCTACACCTGATGTAAAAATGTTAATATGTGTCCTTTGAATTTTAAAGCCATTATCCGGAAATGTAGCTTAGTTGGTTAATGGGTTAGGCAAGTATGTACAAAAACTTCCAACGGGGCTGAGTTACTTACCTGAGATGGACACGGGTTTATAGCTCCTATTGCCAGCAAGGCCAAGCAGAGACTCCAGGCTCAGGACTCCTCAGCACAGTCAATCAGTGACTGCAGACGCCAGGACTCTGAAATTCTAACATTTTATACACTTTCCAACTGGCTCCTCCCCAGGAAGCCCCACCCCTCTACAAAAAACTCTTATGTCTCCTCCCAGTAAATCCAGTTAATGATTGACTTATTTTATTCTACATCAGATTGATTGAATCTGACCAATCCTGTGAAAACAAAAACACTAAATTCAAATTCAATATTCCATTTGTGTATAGATTGATTTTTATGTGAATTTTCATGTACTATATATATGCATATATATATGTATATATTAGTGTGTGTGATTTTAGTGTGTATGTGTGTGTTTTATTGTGTGTGGGTGTTTGAGTAAGTAGTGAGATTTAGGGTAGCCAAAGTCTACAACATTAGCTTTTGTCTCAAAACAACAAAACAAAAACCCAACACTAAACAAAAACACACCCCATGAATATGCTGCAAATGAGAAAGAGCTGAGATGGGTGTCGGGAACCTGGAGTCCTCCCTAGCAAGTACTTTAGAATCATCAAGAGTAAGATGGACACTTTATCTCAAAGTGAAAATCATCAGCAAAGCATGATGGGATGGACATGAAACAAACACTAATCTTTATTAATACCCTTTTGTCATCCTTCATGGGTTACATACTCTTATTCATCTTAGCATTCCAGAACCTGAGGCAAGAAGGTTTCTGTAAGTTACAGGCCAACCTGGTCCATATAGTGAGAAACTGTCAAACAGCAAAATCAAATTTGAAACAGAAAACCGTGGTGCATTTCTTGAAGAAAAACAATAGAAACCAGGTGCCTTAAATGGTCTTTTATTCTTTTTTCTGAAATGGTCTTTTAGAAAGAAAAATCCCTTACCAAGCAATCTGATCTTCGATAAGAAGGAATAAAAGATGTTCATACATGTATGGGTTAACATCAGGGCATTCAATTGGATTCCATTGGTCCACCTGTGTATTTTTGTGCCAATATCAAACTGTTTTTAGGACTACAGCTCTATAATAGAGCTTGAGGTCAGGGATGGTGATGCCTCCAGATGTTGCTTTGTTGAGTAAAGTTGTTTTGCCTATCCTGAGTCTTTTGTTTTTCCATACAAAATTGATTATTGTTCTTTCAAGGTTTGTGAAGAATTGTTCTGGTGTTTTAATGGGGATCGCATTAATTCTGTAGATTGCTTTTGGCAGGATTGCCATTTTTACTACATTGATCCTACCTATCCAAGAGTATGGGAGATCTTTTCATTTTCTGAGGGCCTCTTTAATGTATATATATGTATTATGTTGTCTTAAACAAAACAAAACAAAAGCAACAACACAACCAACACCAACAAAAATGCTAAAAGCAAGACCTTGGTAGAACACGCCTTTAATCCCAGCCATCCAGAAGCAGAGGCAGGTGGATCTCTATGAGTACAGTGCAAAGCCTTCTACAGAGCTAGTTGCAGGACAGGATCCCAAGATACAGAGCAACCCTGTCTACAAAAACAAAACCAGACAAAAACCCACTAAAACCAAAACAAACAAAAAGTAAAATACAAAAAAACCCAAATCAAACACACAAATATGTATACTTCATCAAAAGTCTATTTATTTATCTAATGTTTAGTAACATATATGTGTCAAAACATTTCTTCATTGCAGAGATAAATGTTCATGGCAGCTAATCTTTTTATGTATGCCTGTATTGTGTTTGCAAATATTGTACTGAATGGACTTGGATCTTGGATCTATGTTCATCAGGGACATTAACTTATTTGTTGTTGCTGTCTCTTTACCTGGTATGTTATTACAATCATGCTGCCTCTGTAAACGTAATTTAGTGGTACTTTATATG